TATCTGCTCAGGGGACCCAACTCTGTTGCAGCACCAGCTGGGTTGGTGTAGATGGGACCATTGTGGGATATCCCACCGGGAGTTGTCCCCAGCACTCCAGACTGGGGAGTCACAAGTCTCAGTTGCAGTCTGAGCTGGTTAGTGTAGACATGCCCTGTGATGTCTGTGTCCTGAGCATGCTCTTGTCTCCCCTGCAGACCATGCTGTGCCCCACCTCACCTCACCTAGCCCTCCTGGCCCTGCTCTCTGTGGCTGGCGCTGTGGGTCCAGGGGAGCCATGCCCGTCCGAGATGAACCTGATCAAGGACCGACTGCAGGTGAACTGCTCCGGACAGGGGCTCAGCGTGGTGCCACTTGCCCTGCCCAGGAACACCAGCATCCTGCTGCTCAGCTCCAACCGCCTGGCGTCCGTCTCCACTGCCGCCTTCCAGCACCTCCCTGAGCTGGCTGAGCTGGACCTGTCCCACAATGCCCTGGGGGTGCTGCACACTGGGCCCCCCCTGCCCTTGCTGCAGGAGCTGGTCCTGTCCCACAATGCCCTGGGGGTGCTGCCCACACTGCAGGGCCTGCCTGCCCTCACCCGCCTGGCCCTGGCTCACAACAACATTTCAGGGCTGCTGCCAGGGGCCTTCCGGGATGTGGGGAACCTGATGGATCTGAATCTACGGGGGAACCAGCTGCGGACGCTGCCAGAAGAGGCCTTTGAGGGCCTGGCCATGTTGAAGGACCTGGACCTGTCTGATAACGCCCTGGAGGAGCTGCCGCTGGGGCTGTTGGTTGGGCTGGAGCTGGAGACACTGAGGCTGTCAGGGAACCAGATCCGCACTCTGCCCGGCGGCTTCTTCCCCGAGGGCCACATGTTTGCCTTCGTCTTCCTGGCAGGGAACCCCTGGCGCTGTGACTGTGGCCTGGCCTATTTGCGAGGCTGGATCAAGGACAACGACTTCAGCATCTACATCCAGGAGCAGAGGCCAGACGGGCTGCTGACTGAGAATGATCCCCAGAGCCCCGTGTGCGATGAGCCCCTCAGACATCACGGGAGCCCTGTCCTCGAGTTCAAGCAGGCCTGTGGCAAAGCAGGGGACACAGACAATGATGAAGATTTGGATATCGATGGGACAATGACAGAGGAGGGAACCCCTGTGCCCTCCACTACTGTCCCCTCCACCACTCTGCCCCCAACCACCCCTGGGCCCCCCACTACTGCCCCCTCCACCACCCTGCCCCCAACCACCCCTGTGCCCCCAACTACTGCCCCCTGTACCACCCTGCCCCCAACCAGCCCCAAACTCCCCACCACC